GGAAAGGATAGATATCGATCTAGCATTTGCTAGCGTTTGCCAACGCTTCACAAGCGTTTGCAAACGGCGGGGACTAGAGAGTATGGGAGAGTAGGAGAGCGAACGGCTCGATTAGGCGTCATGGAATTGCGGCGTGTGCAACTGCACCGCACTACTAGACAATACCGTACACTAAATTGGTTAAATTGCATAATGCAATGGTTGAACTGCATAATGCATAATTGTAAAGGATAAAACAACGTGGGATCATTTAGGATCTTTCATAAGGATGAGCATGTATGTGTCGGCCGTATATTCGTCCAGAGAACGTTCACAAAAATTACTTAAAATTCACAAGCGGAACAATTTCCAACAGATCAGCCCTAAAATTTTGGTGCGATGATGTAATAAACATTCCGTTCCAATAGCCAAACCACAGAATTATGCAATTTAACCAATTTAGTGTACGGTATTGTCTAGTAGTGCGGTGCGGTTGCACACGCCGCAATTCCACGGCGCCTAATCGAGCCGTTCGCTACTCTCCTACTTCCCGTACTCTCTAGTCCCCGCAGCTGGCAAACGCTGGTGGAACGCTGGCAAATGCTAGATCGATACCTAATTTTCCTTGCCCTCGCTACGCTAGCGCACGCTGGTGACGCTGGCAAACGCTAGATCGATATCTATCCTTTCCTTGTTACTGCCGCTGCCGAACGCTGGAGTACGCTGCCGCGAACTATGAATGCAGCCTTAGAGCGAAAGTGCCTGGCGTCCGCGCCCTAGGCCTTGGCGCCAGTAACTCTCGTTTTAGGCGGACGTGGTATTTGTGTTCAGTGAATCAAGCATCCCATGGCAATGATTTCCTGGGACGGAAATCTAGCCCGACTTTCGAACAATAGGGTATCAAAGCGTGAACTGTACCAAGGAAACACATTACCTCATCGCCGCTGAATGCGAATTCCAGATTAATGTCGTTGTTTTTCATGATGGCTAAGCCTTGTTGTAAAGTTAGAGTACATCTGAAAAGATACTTCAGCGATTGCATATTACCATTAGGCGAGGCTGCAGCATATAGAGGCGGCAAGTCTTTCGGCAGTCGTCTTCTGCCTAGTTACTCACAATGGACACTCCGAAAGAGACGTGTAACAAACCCTCCGAATGAACCTAACTCTCTAGCCTTCTCGAGCGGTAACTTAGGGTGCGTTTATACTTTGCGGCAGCGCCGGGGAGAGGATGCATATCGATCTAGCGACGGGGCTAGAGAGGCTAGAGAAGCTTAATTAAAGTAGATGAGTACAAAAATAATCTCCTACTTCAATCACTGCTAGCCCCTCTCTTTACAATGGCCGGTCGCTGCAAGCGTTGGGAAAACGCTGAAAGGACGCTGGTTGAAGCTAGATCGATCAGCTATGCTTGCTCATTGCCCTCGCCAACGCCAGCGTTGTGCGCTAGCGTAGGCCAGCGTGCGCTGTGCGCTAGGCAACCCTAGACGAATGCCTCCTGCTCCCCGCACGGCCGCCTGCGCTACGCTGGAAGCGACTACGCTACGCTGCCGCAAAGTATAAACGCCAGGACCTTATTTAATGGGATTACGCACCTTATGCTGAACCTTATTTTATATGAAGGTTAACCACTCACTCCAAACTGTCGGAAAGCTGCTTCAGCCTCACTGGTAATTCCGCGTTTTTGTCAACTGAAAACAAACAAATGAATTCGAAGCACAAAAAAAGATAAAGAAAACGAAAAAACGCAAAACGAGTGACAATGATAAAACGAAATGTGTGTTATCCTGAAGACAGCGCTATCGCTGCAGGGCTTAGAATCGTTAGGTCATCGCTAAAAGGAATGCATTCAGAAGGTGTAAACGGCCCAACTGAGACCTCATGACGAGTTATAAACGGACCAGTTGACGAAACTTTGGGCCAGTTCTTTGAATCTAGCCGCTGCCTTTGTGCAACTTGTTCTTCTAGGCATATTCGATAACATGAGCAAATATCACCGCAAACGAATCTTGGTAATAAAAAAGTGATCGGGGTGGAACTAACATGCGAAGGCGGAGTCAACCTATCGTTGCTGAGCTGTCGTGTTCTTATCAAGCGCTTCCGAGCCACGAAAGTAGGATATACTCTGTGACTACTCCGCCACCTAGTACACTAAAAGGGTTCTACAGGTTGGTTGATCGCGCGCGCTGTCTTCTATATCTTTAAGTGAGACCTAGTCTACAAAGGGGCTGTCTGTCCTACAATCAGGGCACGTCGTAGTAGGTTGGGTAAGCTTCAGCGGGGGAAGGATCGTATTTGGTCGGTGGAGCGAAGGGGTAAAATCAGGGCTGGGATTTTTTTGATAGTTGATTTGTCCTCTTTGCGTGCGCTATTTATGTCGTTGGGAAAATTCCAATGGGGGAGGGTGTATTTGTTGGTTGTTCGGAGATAGGATCGTATTGCCTTTGAGAAAAATTTTCCGAATAACGAAAAAACTCCCCGGTTGTTCTTCTCGCGGTTTCTCCTCTAGTTGACGCGCAGTCAAAATCCTATACAACTACAATTTTCTGTAGGTGGATTGACCTTGTTTGGTGGCGACCTCCATATCCCTCCTTCAAAGATTGACAGATGGGCCACAACTACGAATCCGATAAAACTCTGCTAACCTGGCAAATTGCGTCTTATTGTTGAAATTGCTTGCAACAAGTCAATTCGACCCTCGGTATCAAAAACGAAACGTTTTTCCTGAAAAAGTAAAGCTCAACGGATCTGCTGGTGTTTCCAGAGTATTAGCGATAAAAGAGAACTAAGAATAAAACTGAAAGAGGTACAAACTTCTTACCATAAGGTTTCGTCGAAGCGCTTGCTGAAAGCCATCCCAAGATAATTTTGACGCAGTTTGGCGAATCTTCTCAATTTTGATTTCCGCATCGATTTTGTCCAGGTCGAATCCATCTTCGAGATCTTTCGACACGACCATGATGGAGGTAAAGTGTCTTTTATGCCAGCAAAACCAGTATCATTCAAACACGCGATATAGAACCAAGGGGCTAGAATTGTCCAGCCAGCGCCAAGCGTCAAACGATCGCTGGAAGACGGCGCGGCTACGACGCGGCCAGTCTCCATGGAGCACACTATTGTATTGGTTGGGGAATGAGCGCGACCAGTTTCTAACAAGTTTGTGAGTCCCTGACGTATACGGACCCTAGCTTACATGCATCCTTGAAAGATAACCTACTTTGGCAGATGTGAGCGTTTCCTTTGTGTTAGGTGATATTCTGGGCTGGGTTACAGTTATGTCATCGGAAAGGGTTGAGTTGATTAGGCCCTTGGCGAAGTAGTACACACCTCATAAATTCGGAATATATACTTCCGGGCCTCCGAAGAAGGCATTACGTCGAAACGTGTGGCCATTAACTAACCGGTGCTAACGTATTTGGGGGGGGACCACGCGGCTCGCGGCGTGCGATGACTCATCTGCTCTTCTGCTCCCTCCTCGGCAAAATAGAAGTAATTTTGTGTTTAGGACATGGATATAACACCGACCTAGCTATATTAATACAGTAAAGCTAAAAAGTGCCA